TAAATTTGAAAGGAAAACAAAAAAACTTCTGGAAGATAACATAGGAGATTGTCTTTGTGACCTTTCGGTAAGCAAAGATTTCTTAAATGGGACACAGAAAGAACTATCTGTAAAAGAAAATGCTGCTAATTTGTACTACATGAAGTTTAAGAACTTGTGTTCCTTAGGACCCTATTAAGTGAGTGGAAGTAGAAGTCACGGAGTGAAGATATACAACCCACGAACACCTTGTATCTAGAAAAACGGCACACCACTAAAGAGGATATGCAAATGGCCAGTAAATATTTTTTTAAGGTTGCACAACCCATTAGTAATCAGGAAAATGCAAATTAAAGCGACATAATGAGGTATCACTGAAATAAACGTGACTGGTAATACCAAGGGTTAACAAAGGCATGGAATAACGAGAAGTCTTATACACTGACAGTGTGAATGCACTGGTTTTCAAGCACTCTGGAAAACTGTTTGGCAGTATCTATTGAAGCCAAACACACACAGTTTCTATGACCCAGCAGTTCTACTCCTAGAAATGGCCCCACACCCACATCCCAAAAGATAGATAAAGCAATGTTCAAAGCACACTATTTGCAGCTACCAAAGCTGGAAGTGTGCAAAGGTCTACCAATGGTAAGATGAATAAACAAATCAGGATAAAGTCCTACAATGGAATCGTATACAACAAAGAAAAAGAACAAGGTAAAAACAGATACAACATAAACATGGCTGAATCTCACAAATAAAATGTGAGCAAAAGTCAAGAGTGAAACGGTACGTTCTGTATCTCTCCATTTTTATCAAGTTTAAAAACAAGCAAACCCAGTCAAGGTTGATAAATGTCCGCTGTTAGCACTGGGCCTGGGGGACGATAACTGGAAAGGGGCCCATGGATGCTGGCACTATTCTCCTTCTGATCTGGATGGCGCTAAAACAAGTATATACACTGTGCAAAAGCTCATCAAGAGGTACACTTATGGTTTGTGCATTCTTCTGTATGTATGCTATGTTTATGTAAAGAGTACTTCAAAAAATTAAAAATAAAAATTCACTAGCATATATAACATAGGCTAAAAATGCAAATAAAAACAGAATAAAGTATTTGTTCTCCACACATACAGAATTGTAAATTGTTAACTAGAATTTTCTTCCTATACTGATATCCTGTTACACACCTGTTGACATCTCAAAATGCACTTATAAATATCAGATATCAAAACAAGAAAACATGGTGAGAACAAAATATTGGAGATACGTTTTTCTCAGAGGAAACAGGTGAAAATAATGAACGCATATCAAAGGAACAAAATTGGCCTAATCAAGATCTTTTCATTGTAGCAAACACAGGAGTAATCTAGACATGAAAACATGACAAACATAAACAAGGCCTAAGAGGAAACAGGGCAAGCCTTCCCTGAAATGTGACACTTGATTATCTGCCCCTCACGCCACCTGATTTTTGTGTGGTATGTACCAGAACCAGCCTTAGTGGGAGCGGGAGTACCGCCGGCTTGTTGACAAACACTAGTGCTTACTGAGTTTCATCAAGCCCTGCTTCAAACAAGCCCTCAGGTGGAAATCCACTATGTGTAGAGATCAAGAGGGTAATGGCTTTCCTCTGGACGGAATGCAAGGCCAGGAGGTCCGGGGAACTGAGGCCACTCTCCTGCCCTGCCTGCAGCCCATGGGAAGGCCCCAGAGAAACCTCTGTGTTCCGAGAAACAATGCTCTCCTCATGACCACATCTGACAGAGCCAATCTGGGAGGGAAAAGAGGAGACCTCTCTCTCTTACCTCTTCATGTTTGCCCCTCCCAGAGATGCACACCCAGGCATCCTTCTGAAATACACAAAGGTCATTCTTGGGTGAAGGGCTTACAAGGAGCTAAGGATGTAACCAGAGGTAGGAGTGTCACTGCGTACATCTCCAACAGCCTCACAGGGACAGGCCGCTGGGTCACAGATCAGGATGCTCTTAATTCTGTGGGCTTATGAGACCAAGACTGACTAAGTAAGTCCTCTTTTCTGCCCAACTCCATTTTTTAAGAAAGTTCTCCAACCTCATTATAAGTTTCCTGGAAAACATACTTGTGCTAGCCTCTTCTAAAGACACCTGCTGTCGAAACACTCCTTAGGCTGCCACATCCCCCGTATGATTTTGTTTACTGGGTAAAAGCCAACTAAACACAGCACCCACCTCTCCTGGAGGACTCTACCTTATGAAAAATGTTAAGTCAACTATTAATTTGCAATGTGATGGTCATTTGGGTTCTTCTTTGTAGTATGCATATCCCTTTTAGTTTAATCCCAAATAGGGATGAATAGGTCAGAAAAGCCCAGGCTACATCGTTCGACTCCCTCACCCCTGGGTGAAGACCCCATCAGCTCATCATAAATGGATATAGGACATACCCTGTTTCTGCTTTGTGACACAGGCAGGCTCTGGAACAAATTGCCTGGGGAGGGCAGGGTACTGGGAGAGGAGGTGTACATTTCTCCTACAAGTTACATGCAATTTCAGCTCCTTGGAAACCATGATTTCTTATTTGAATGTCTTATGCCTTCAGAGATGGGATAATGTTCAACACAAAACAGATGGTAAGCAAATTACCGGCTAACTGGCCAGCAGTTAAACTGCAAGTTAGAAGTGCAGGGTTTCCCAAAACACAAGAAAAAAGCCGGGGGGGGGGGGCGGGGCGGGGGAGAAGAAGAAAGAAAGTCCTCCTTTGCTCTTTCAAGTTTTTTCTTTCAGTAATGTTTTTATAGAGGCCTTTGTTCTCCAGACAGCACCTTTATATGCAGTGTATCTTCTAATCCTCACATAGTCCTGCAAGGTAGATTATTATTATTACCCTGACTGTACAGATGAAGAAAACAAGGCTCAGAAGGCTGAACTGATTTGCCCATCAACAAAGCACTAGTAAGAAGCAGACACAGAACGGTCCTGCTACTGCGCTTGCTGCACTTCTTCGATAACCCCCTCTCCCGCACCTGCTTCTTCACCTGCTCTTTCCTTCTGCTCCCAGGAACAGCACCCCTCCCTGCACGGGGGACAGTCTCTTGTTTCTTTCCTCCACCGGGCCACTCACTGCTTCACGCTCAGGACATAAGGAGAACACGTGCAGGCCACTTCTCAGCGCCCCCCCCCTTCCACCCAGGCGCTCCTGCACCCCCGCCTCCACACGTGCTACAGGAAGGGGGAAGCGCGAGCAAAGCAGCTGCCCAACTCACTCAGATGCGCAGGCGTTCCTCTGTAAACCCCCAGGAACCGTATTCATCAAACTGGCTTTCACTGGGTCAATTAACGCCACCATGAGCTAGCTGCTCGTTTGTCACTCGGAAATTTCAACAGGGACATTTTTTTATTGGTGTTCCAATGAAAAGCTGTGGTTACAGTGATACTAAGATGAATCAGGTGATGGGAAAGGAAAAAACTAAAGTTATTCTAGGGATGTTTAAATATGAAATAATCCATAGAGTGTTCTACTGGAGTGTTCATGGAACGCATCTGAGCTTCTAGACTGTATGAAACAAAACCAGGCATATGTCCATGTTTTGCCTCAGCTGATCGAGCCTCAAATAACTGCCATGTCAAAAGAACATGGACGAATGGCTGAAGAGGGAAGGCTTCCAGAATAAGTCCATTATACTGCCTTACCTATACTTTATGTAGCTATTGTCTTCATTTCTGATAAGGAAAATGAAGACCAGAGAGGATGATTAACTTGTTCAGACACAACAGAGGCCGAGAGCCAGAAGGAGCGAGGTCTCTCTCCAGTTCCAGAACTATTCCAGAAGAGATGGTGCTCTATTATATCATCTGTATTCTCCTCCCATCTGTACATTTCTCACCATCCATCAAGTAAGACAAACCCAGGAAGTCTAAACAAACTGGAAACTATGAATAAAGACATTTGAAATGGGCACCTCAGCCATCTCCCCTGAATCAACAATCCACAAGCCCAGGAGGGCTCCACAGTTCTTCACGGGCAGTACTATCTACAGCAGGGTCACGTGCACGAACATACGATGGATACCACACAGTCCAAGGAAAAGGTGGTACTTTCCGTCAAATCTATCTTCAGTATAAAAAAGTTTATTTTTACACTTTTTTTAAATGTCAGTAAGCAGTTTAATAAAGAACCTACTCCTGGCCTGCTACTTCCTTTCTCCTAGTACTTAAAAAGACATCTGGGGGCACCTGGGTGGCTCAGTCATTGGGCGTCTGCCTTCAGCTCGGGTCATGATCCCAGGGTCCTGTGATCGAGCCCCGCATCGGGCTCCCTGCTCAGCGGGAAGCCTGCTTCTCCCTCTCCCACTCTCCCTGCTTGTGTTCCCTCTCTTGCTGTGTCTCTCGCTGTCAAATAAATTAAAAAAATAATAATAATAATAATAAAAGACATCTGGGTTTTCTGCAACTCTGCAGCTAATCCCTGTGAGGCCGGTTCTGGCTTTTCACAATGAAGAAGGTGGCAGCACGGCAGAGAGAACGACCCAGCCAAGGGGGTCCGCTTGGAAGACCGAGGTTCTTCTGCTGCCACCCTGAACTCCTATCTTGTGCAGAGCCTTTGCACTCAAGCTACTCCGTGGGGACCAGGTAAGGTCTGAAAACGCTGGGGGCACAGGTGGTACCTTCTGTTCTTAGGCAGTTTATGAACGTCTTCCTCCTACCTGTGGGAAGCACCCCTGATTGTGAAGGGAATTAACAGAAGTCCTGCCTAGCTCACATGACCTATGACTCTGAAAAAGTCATGCACAACCTCCCTCACCTTAAAACTAAACCAGAGTATCAAAACTGAGCCAGAAATCTGTTTTTCCAAATAGAAAGATATGTGAACTGGAGCCCCAAACACAAAACAATCTTTGTTAAAAGGGATATGCTTAACTTCTTAAAAAGTTTCTCCATACACTTCATTCCTGGGGACACACACACACACACACACACACACACAAAAAAAAAAGCTGACACAAGTCTGCACTTACTTAGGTGCACACATACACCCCTTACCAAAAGTAACTTCTCCTTTGCCAGTTTTGTCAAACAGTTGAAAGGCCACCATGAACAAAGCATCCGGGGCACATAGGACAGATTCAAATGCTACAAACTCTTGAAAGGATATTAATCTGCAACATAAAACAAGCACAAAGCATAAAATCAGTAGCCTGCAGAAAATAAAAGCATACACAGATAGACACTAGGGAAAAAATTAAACATTCCTGTCAAAAAACTATGTTCAAACCTAAAAACATTTATAAACACTTAGCATTTCCTTTTACATACAGTGGACTGAAATAGCAATGTACAAAATTTAAAGAACATGACAGGTTCGAATTATAATTTCAAATGTAACTGTTTTAGCCAACATGGCATTTTTGTTTCAGGCATATTATCGCTGGATTCTAGAATTAAAGATTAGGTATTTTAAATTAGGATGTGATTGGGCAGCAGTAATATAGAGAAGCTTTGTCATTCATTAATACCTTTATACACCATGTAAAAATGGTTCACAAGACTCATTCATTGCTGATATCTACTGACCACATGTGGATTCAACTAGGGGTAGTATTGGTAGGGCTGGTAGAATACAAACAAACATGAAATGTGACGCCAAAGAAGTTCTAGTCTGATAAGGCAGATAACACTAGTCTAGAACTAGAAACAGTATACAATCTTAAGACAGGGACCAATATGATGAGAACAGAATTCTGGTAGGAAATCAAAGGCTTTGTAGCAGAAATGGAATGCGAGCTGGGTCTTGAAAAATGAGTGAAATTCAGGTATGTAGTAATGGGCATAGAAGGGTGGACACTCTAGTCAGGGGGATCCTTGCAGAAAGGCAGGTGCAAGGAAGCTAGGGCGTGTACAAGGGAAATGGTGAGGAACTGATTTTGTCTGGGCAGCAGAGCACATAAAAGAAAACACTGTGAAATGAGATTAGAAGTGTAAGACCAGAGATGGACATGAAAACAAAAAAAGGGACTGCTTTTTCTTCTCTAGGAAGCAAGGAGTGATTGAAAAGTTTCTGAGCAAGGTCATGACATGATCAAATATGGTTGTTGGGAACAATACAACAGGCCACAGATGCTTTGACTTCCAAGGAGGTATTCTGTATTTTAAATGTCCAAATATTTCAATGATACACTGAAGTAAGTCCAAGTCTCTGGAGGATAGAGAGGGAGGAAGAAAACAGGAGTGTTTTCCTATGTTTCTCAAAACATTTAATTACTTCTAAGCATCTCATAGAGAGAACACATTTTTCTACAACGTGTTACAAAGTTCAGTGTTTCCCAGAATGTCACCTGATCATAATAATGTCACAAAGAAAGGAAAATCCCATGGTGTGTTCAATATACAATTTCTGTCATTCACCATCCAAAACACATCCTTCCAAATGCATGGGAACATTCGGGAGCAGGAACAGCGTATGTTACAGAAATACGTTTGCCCAGAACATCTTCTCTACCACTCAGGGTGTCTCACTGAGAGTCTATGTGCAAGTGAGACGAGGATGGGAGGAGAAGCAAAGCTGAGTCAAACATTCTTAGCAGGCCTCGAGGAGCTCACAGCCTGTGGGGGGAGTGCGAGGTAGTCACGTGCACATATGCCCACCAGAATGCACGAGTTGAGGGTCAAAAGTAAAAGAAGACATAAAGCGTTAAGGGGGCACAAGAAGAGTGATTTGTTCTGCCTACAAACCTGGGGAATGCTTCATGGAGGTGTGTCATTTAAAGAAGAAATTTTAAAGTTGAGAAGATCTTAGAGATCATCTACTTCAACCTCTTCATTTTACTTTTGAGAAAACTAAAAGTTAATGACTTATGTGAAGGGGAAGCAACGGGCTTCTGGCATTCTGGCCTAAAACCCAGGTGTCCTGGTTTCCATTTGACTGAGACCTCATTCCAGCTGGGATGGAAAGATGGCGATAAGAGTGAAGGGCAGAGAGAGGACATTCCATACTGAGGAAAGAACAGAGCGAAACACAGAGGTGACAACATATGGGACGTGCTGTGTTTAGGGAAGAACGCAGGTGTTGCCGACCCTGTATCTAATAGGTTGTGAGGGGTGAAGAGTGGCTTGAGCTGCAATACCAGCCACCTGTGGAAGACCGTAAAGGCCAAGTTACAAAATCTTGACTTCTTTGCAAGCAGTGAGAAGTCACTGAAGGTCTTTGGGCTGGGGGGGGGGGGGGTGCTAATAAATATCAGGTTCAGATCTTTGTCTTAGAAAAGGAATTGGTGTGGAAGATGAATTTAACAGAGGAAAGACAAGATGGGGAGATAGATAGTGTGAGAGCAAGGGAGAGCAGGGGTCTAAACCCCAGCTACCGCAGCAGGACTGAGAAGAGAGGAAAGGCTAGAGAAGTACAGTTGAGGCAGGAATGACAGAACTTGGTAGAGATGGATGCCAGAGACTGAGGGCCAGGAAAAGGCCCAAAACATCCAACCCGGCTAACTGAGTGGGATGATGATACGACCACCAAACACAGAGTGAGAGAAAAAAAAAGAAAGAAGAAGAAGAAAATGAGAGAAGTGCCTTGTGAGACAGTAAGACCAATTCTGACTGTGTTACATTTGAGGTACTGGTGGGACACTGACTATGGTGTCCAGCAGGAAACCAAAAGCACCAGTGTGGAACTTGTGCTTGGGAGAAGGGCTGAAAGCAGTTGAACTGCATCCTCCCCAAAAAATTCATGTTGAAGTCTTAACCCTCAGTACTTCAGAATATGACCTCTGCTTGGAACTAGGGTTGTTGCAAATGTAATTAGTAAAAATGAGCTCAGACCAGAATAGGGTGGGCACCTAATCCAATATGACTAGAGTCCTCATAAAAAGGGGAAGTTTGGACACAGATATGCACACAGGAAGAACACCATGTGAAGATAAAGGTAGAGATCAGATGCTTCTATAAACCAAGGAATGCCAGAGATTTCCAGCAAACCACCAGAAGCTAGGGGACAGGCATGGAACAGATTCTCTCTCACAGCCCTCAGAAGAAACCAACCTTGCTGATACCCTTGATCCTACCCTCCAGAACTGTGAGACAATAAATATATTTTTTAAAGCCATCTAGGTTGGGGATACTTTGTTATAGCAGGCCTAACAAACTAATACAAAGGCTAAGATAAGAAACAGATCTGGGAGTTTTTAAACAAAGGTTACTTAAAGCTGTGAATGAAACTCAGGGCTCAGGCTCACCATACTCCACACTACTGAAGCAGGAGAGAGGGAAAAAGGTGTCTCCATCCGCTTTCTTGTTGCCATCGCTCTTACTTCCAGGACTCCTCTGAGCAGGTACCAACAACCACACAGCCACACTGCTCACCAGTTTAGCCTGCTGGCAATTTGTCAAGGCACAAAATAATCCTATTTGCTCAATTATCCCTGCACAGACGTTTGGTTAATTAAAAGCTGCACAGTGTGTTATCCAGAAGAGGCATTTTTTTTTTTTATTTAATGATTGGAATAAAGACTTAAGTACAATAAAAAGAGTATCTCATATCTCTCAAAATGGTATGAGAAACCTGAACACTATCTATATGCATGAACAAATCCTCATCTGGCAATGTCAATGGGGTTTCATAACCATATCTGGCCAACGAATACTCTGGTATTTTAGGCATGTTACAGATACCAAAAAGGTATGTAATTTGGTAATCCTGTTAGATACAAGTATTATACATCTATGTAGGAGGTATATAGATGAACCATGAAATCATAATGTCTTACTGTTCAGCAAGATCATTTTGGATTTTCAAGGTAATCTGACTAGAGGGCTATCAGAATAATTACATAGTACTATATTCATCTACAGCATGCTATCTAAACACACACACACACACATTTTCACATAAACAGTACTTTAGTCTTGCTTTACAGATTTAATGGATATTAGAGTAAATTACAACAAAGAATACAAGCTTAATCAAGTTCAGACCTGGCTGAGGAGCTCACTTGGTTCCGTTTCTACCCAAAACTTCTCTGACAATGTTAGATGCCCTCTAAAATAAACCCCACAACTCTGTGGGACTCCATGACCACTGCCTGCGGAACAGTGTTTGACTAGGCCCACCCGCAGCAACTAAGAGCGGGACACTGGTCAGTAAAGAGAAGCAAACGCAGGAGTCCCATTTTCAAAGGCCCCCAACCACTCTGATGAGGGAAAAGTAGGTTTCTAACTACTCTGTTCCTGGTTCTGATGCCACCAGAGATTTTTTTAAAGAAAGTCGTTTTTGTGTTTCAAACCATTAGAGCTGCTACCCTCCTTATTCTAAAGCCGTGGGGGGCAGCTGCAACTTTACAAGCCCGTGGAGTCCGCCCCTAAGGCAGCGCAGACACCACATTCTCCAGTCAAATACTGAGCCAGGGAAAAAAGGGATACAAAGTGGACTCCACAGGTACATTGGGCTCAGGGCTGTGTAAGATTACACAACTATTACATACACAGAAAGATACTAGAAGGACACAAACCAAAATGATGCCAGAGTTTCCTTATAGTGGCATCCCTTTAGGTCTCCTCCTCACATATTGGCAAGGGATAGCTCTTAGCCTGGAGATGCGTAAAATAGAGAATACAGACTGAAAACCATGACATTATGGGAAAAAGTAGCAAGTAATAGAAGTGGAGATAAATTACCCAGTGATTCAGAGGAAGGAAAGACCATTATTATATTGAAAGAGACGGGGAGTGTCAGTACGATCACGTGACATCAGAGGGACGATGCGACCAAGTGGACGTGTACCGTCAGTCTTGCAGAAGTAAGATGTGATCAAGCAGAGATGGGAGGTGGGGGAAGGAGAGGCCACCAACGGCAGTGGGTGCCTACTCTACGTGCCAGGCATGGGCCGGTGCTGGGAAGACACAGGCGAAAAGTGCAACCTCTGCCCCCCAAGAACTGATGGCCCGGTGGGGGGTGTGGGGGGGCAGATGGTGAGCCAGGAACCAAGGCAGGAGGGCTGCAGATGAAGAGCCACAAGCAGTGTGAGTATATACTGGAGTAAGGGCAAGTGCAATGGTGCGCACATCCTGACAGTACACAAAGTCTGAAATTCTTGGTGATATGACAAATTGTGCTTTAAATCATTTACTCTGGCAGAGGAGTGTTAAATGACCTGGAAGGAGAAAA